ACACATACATATGTATGATGAATGTGTATATTGTATGTGTGTGTATGTGGTAAGTAAGTGTACATGAATGTTTGTATATTATTATTAGATCAATGGATATCTCCTGTTGTTAATGGAAACAGACCACCTCCTATTGATTCCTTCACTCTAACACCAGTTACTAATAACACTGCAGTAATGTTCGGAGGCTCTACTGATAATGCATACAGTAATAAACTGTATATGATAAGTTTCACTAAGACATCAGTGGTGAGTTAATACTGTAGGATGGGTTTTGATTGTGAGAAAATTTTGAATTGATTATTTATATATTTATTTTATTACATTGATGTTGTTATTCTCTCAGGATATATTAGAAGTACCTAATCCTGGAGGATCAGTACAATGGCCTAAACGAAGATATGGTCATTCCAGTGTACTGATTACCACTAGTTTAGGACCACACTTACTAGTGGTGGGTGGATTACTTGCCTATGATGTATGGTTACTGGACATTAACAAAAGAAAATGGAAAGAACTGGTAAGCATTATATTATGATGCTTGATAATGAAACATAAAGTGATTAACTAAATTTGTAACTCATGAGGTTTGTAATGTACATGTAAATATTATGATACTCAGTGAAAACTACTGATGAATAATGCTGGTATTCAGTATGTGTGTGTGTGTCTGTTTTTAGTGTGAATGTGTGTTTGTGTGTTTTTGTGTTTTGTGTTTGTTTCTTTACCTGAATATACATGTGTCTGTGTGTGTGTAAAGATGGATTGACAATTGATAGAGTGTCAATGCTGGAATTAAAATAAATTGTATTTTATATACATTGTGTACATTGTGTATGTACATACATGTATTTGTGTGTATGTGTGCATATGTTTTAATATGTGTATGTGTGTACTAACACATACATCATGTGTACATGTAACATGTACATGTGTGTGTATGTGTGTGAGCAATTATGCATGCTTTACATGTAGCTTTATATGTGTATGCATGTATAGATGTACATGTATGTGTGTTAGTGTGTCATTAGTATGTGTATGTGTATGTGTGTACATGCAGACACTTAGTAAGTTCTTAATCGAGGACTCACATGATATAATAACAGACTCAGTTGTGTATACTTGTCTATTAATATATTGTGTATTATTAATTTTATTATGTGATCTTTGTGTTACATAAAACACACTGTGCAGACTATAAAACTGTGAGTTAGTTATTGTGTTTATTAACCAGATATCAAATCAATTAATATGTCACACACAAATTAATTATTATCATTTTAATTTTTTAGATTAATCTACCAGTCAATGTCACTAGGAGATTTTATCATTCTCTCTCAGTGTGGAGTGTGACCCCAACTACTAACTGGATAATTGAGTTTGGAGGATACACATCATGCACTGATACAGCAGTTATTGAACTCAGTAAGTACATGTAGACAGTAGTAGATACAATGTGTATTGAATATGTAATGATAATTAGTAATGATAATAATGCAATAAAGTAAGTAATTCTTATGATGAATATTTAATGAGAGCATTTGACGTATACCTATGATACTAATTATTACCAATTGATTCCTGCTATGTACAATAGTGAAATATAATGACTGCAGATACAGAAACACTGATATTAATAGGAGCTAGAGTAAATGAAATATTATTATCAGTGTATTTATATACAATAATATGTTCATGTGGTTAAAGCCTGGGTTATACTCGGCACAAAACGCAACACAAATGAACGCAAAATTGAAATTTGATCAATTTTGCGTCAATTTCAAAGCGTTTTTACGTCAAAAGGTCAAATCGCCCACACACTTTTGACTGTTTCATTGAATGTAAACCTAGCTTTAACTGTGTAAACTAACAGAAGTCACACATACAATGATTAAACATGAATCGATCAATAATAAGGTTACCATACTAACTAACTGTAATTAATTTGTGTATTTCTTATTCTCCACTATTTTGTTACTGTATAGAATATACTAGTGATAATGATTGGTCTACTAGTGTAATACCTCTGGACCAGTATCAAGATCAACTAAGAAGAAGGATACTGAGTGATTGGGAGAATTTAGGATTAAGCAAAGAGGTTCAATTACTCAGAGGACACCTACAAGAAAGAGAGAGAGAGTTCTATCAGAAACAGGAGCAGATACAGCAAGATCGAGAGAAAGAGCAACAACTGCTTCTTCAAGAAAAGGCAACACTTAGTCAGCAACTTGATGATGCTACCACTCTCCTTGAGCAAGCAGAAAAGGATAAATCAACTGTTGAATTAGGTACTATTGTGTTGTACTGTTGTTTATGTGTACATTGTTTACATTATGATACTAGTGGATTAGACAATGTTGAGTATGAAAATAGTATATCCTGTACTCAATATAGGTCAAATTGTCCATGCATTAGAAATAATGAGATTGATGTAGAGTGAGCTCTGTTTGCCATATATGGTATCATTAGCAATAATCATAGTACATGTATTTATGGGCTACTGTATATACATGCATTGCAAATGTGTATAAGCAACAAATATTATTTTAATAGAATATTATAAGAAGCTCAAAATTAAAGATGCTCAATTATTGGAAGAGAAGACACAAGTAGAGAAGAAGAAACAGATTATTACTGGTTAGTGTATCATCAGTACATAATATTAGATGAGAGAATATTCTATTAATGTATAGAAGATTATGAGAAACTGAAACTCAAAATTGCCGAACAATTGGAAGAGAAGGAGGAACAATATCTCAAGGAGAAACAGATCATTATTGGTTAGTTAACTATACACACGGCATGTATTAGATGAGAGAATATGTTTATTGTGTAGACGACAATCAAAATCTCATTTCTGAAAAAGACAAAGTTATAGCCAAACTGACATCACAAGTAGAGGAACAATCACAGAATGAGAAACAGATCATTACTGGTTAGTGTATCATCATCAATCAATAATAATTATTAATATTCTATTAATTTATAGACCTTAAAGAAAAGGAGTTGTACATAGCCAAACTAGTGAAGGAAAGACAAGAGAGGGTCCTCAAGCAACCTATCAAAGAGACTAGTTCCATTGGACTACAATTTAATTACCTGATCCCTTCAATGGGTAAATTATTCATGTACATGTACACATGTGAATGATTGTGTGTATACTATACTGGTATTAGATATGATGTGTCTGTATTGTTTCAGATTCACTAGACTCTAGTGTCATTATAGCTGGACAGAAGCTCTTTATCCTACAAGGAGACAGGTCTCACTCACTCCAGTGGGAGAAATATGGATTCAGATTAAAGTGTCCTCAAGGAGCAGTGTCCAAGGATACTGAAGTAGCTGTTACTGCACTAGCTGGTGGTAATTTCAAGGTACCCAAAGGCACTGTGCTAGTGAGTGCAGTATATGCAATATCAGTATCTAAGGGACTATCCAAACCACTGGTAATAGAGCTACAACATTGTGTGGATCTAAGGAAGACTAGTCAGACTGGTTGCCTCAAGTTTGTGAGAGCTCCACTGAAGCCTCCTTACCAGTTCAGTATAGTTGAAGGAGGATGTTTTAGAGTTGGTAAAAGATACGGATCAATAAAGCGTGAGCAGTTCAGTTGTATGGGTATTGTAGCTGAGATGAGTAATGGAGACACACCTAGTGACAGTGAGAGTGAGGAAGGTTATGAGACACCATCTGAAGGTAGGAAATAGTGTTTTATTATTAATAATATACAATAATAGGATCAACTGATGACACACATAATGATAGTGGTAATGGAGCAGGAGAGACTAGTGAGAGAACTGCCTCACCAATAAATACTGGACTATCTCAAGGTATGTGTGACTGTAATTGTGTTGTATAAAGTTTAATTTTCATAATAGAATCAGTAACTGATGACTCTAATCAAAAAGTACAAAAAGTAGAGTCTACTTCTGGTATGTATACATTGTATAATTTATTAAGTACATTCATAATGAGGTTTTGTATTATTAGGTGCATCTAATGTTAGCAATGAATCAACTGAAGATGAAGTGAAACAAAAACCAAATGAAGAGAAAGGTATTATGTCACAGTTATTATGTTTTAATTTATAATTCTTATACAGGAGTCACTCTACTGTACACTGGAATGATGTATCATGAAAAGAAAGAAGTTAATCAATGGATGACTACATTTTCTGTTGTTAGAGATTTAGAAGTCCTTCAGCAAGTATGTAATATAATTTGTGAAGAATGTCATTTATCTGAATTTTAGTATTTAGTTAATGAACATCCTGAAGCTGAAAAAGATGGTCCAATTGTTTCATTCAAGTACAATCAACCTGATAGTATCCTTCAGTTGTGTCTGCAAGATACTCCATCACTTGAATCAGGATGGACTGTACATCCTGACCAATCCCCAATGCAAGTATGTACAGTGTACATGTGTATAATACACAGTATGACTGTTACCTATTATTATAGATACGTCAATGTGTAGTGGACAAGTTTATAGACAATCCTATGTGTTCCAGTATCCATATATC